AAGTTAAGCATCTGTTGATTCAAATGAAGGATGAGTTTTCTGAATTAAAGCAAAACTACTGAAAGCAACAAACTAAATATAATAGGAAAGCACAAAAATAGTGGTGCATTAGAAAAAGAAAGAGATAATTTCAGAAATCTTTGGCCATTTTATGAAGGTGCCAACTAAATCTATCGATAACATATTTGTTTTTCTCGGCATATTTAAAGCAGACTTACATTTGCAAGATGTGCAATATATTTATCAGCTCCATAATGGAAATGGGTGCCACCTCCAGGAAAAACAATCTTGTCCCCCTTAACAACCATCCAGTTCTGATCAGACTTTTCATGTGCAAGGTGTGTGTGAGGAATATTTACTTGCCAAACTTCATCTCTGCTTTTTGGCCACTTTATCGGAACCTGCAGCATGATGGTGTGTCAAAACAGTAGTCAGAAGCTCAAGAAAATACAATAAGATACATGTTTAAGAGCCTCCTTAGCAATAATTCTTTGTCAACCTTGTAGCCAGCTGGCGGGGGAATCAAGCAATTGTACCGCCTCTCAGGCTGTGGGCAGTGTCTCTCATAATGCTCCATTAAAGACAAATCCAGCTTCAGTCTTGTCTGGTAAATAAGATTTCTGTCTAGGCAGGGAATGAGCTCCGAATGTCGATCATCGCAGACCTTCAGGAAAGCAGAACAAATCAACTAGAAGCTCGTATATTCATTGATAAGCTGGAAGAGAAATAGTGATTCGAAATGCACTCACAGGAAAGCTTTTGGGTATGAGACCGTCCTCTCCATCCTCCTGACCGAAAATGGACTCTTCTGATTTGCCTACCTCTCCATTATCACCATTAGACCAACCAATTGATCTTGAGATTCTACTACCATACTCTAAAGCAGAGTTTGCATGCTGCCCCCGAGGACCAAAGAAAGAACCATAGTATAGAACTATAAAACCTAGAAAGAGAACAATGAGACACAATGATGGGACCAAATGTTTCTTCTGGCCTCCATCTCTCCCCCTCATCATTTTGGAAATGGAGATCTAGCAGAGGACGTTCTAGTGGAACTCTCAAAAGATCTTATCACCGCAACATTCAATCCACATAATCAATCATATTTAAACGCCACAAAAAAACGCTACGAGCAGTGCAGTGCCTTCAGAATTTAGTGATCTACAACTCGAACATTTCCTTCCTGCCAAACAATAAAAAGATGAAGTGAAATGACAAAATATCGATAATACTGTATTTAAATATTCAATCATGATGAAAGAAAAACCTGCACGGATCGAACATTTTAAGTTGTTCATCATAAACAAATTTTTCTGTCGAGTATAAAAAAAGAAAACAGGTAATCGAAATTCTTATGCTCTTCATGTGAATTAACGAGATCTCCCGAACAGTTTGCGAGCGGCGATACGAAGAAAGGGACAGAATGTGAGACAATTTTCTAGATCAAGCACAAGGCAAGATTCTTGGGTATGTTCGTAAGAGATCCAAAACATCACGCAAACGGGATTGGCATCGGAGAGGGAGCGATCCACGAATCCGAGCTCCGCGGAACTTAAATCACCGACGGGACAAGTATGGAAAAGCGAACAAGGCAATTTTTATATGGAAAGATCTGTTGAGTTCTCAAATTGGTAAAACGATCAAAAACACCAACCGCGAAGAAGATCTAAGGGAGATCCAAAACACGGTAAGGAGCAAAATAAAACCCGGAACACAGAGCACCGAGGCAGGAAAGCAATAAAGAGAACCAGAAAGACCCTCGAAAGATCCGCTTCCGCACCACATAACCGAAGCGACCTACATATGGAGGCGTTCAAGTCACGGGAGCACTCACCGGAGATCTGAGATCGGACGACGCCAATCCACCCCAACCAAGCCCTAACAGAGATCTCCAAAAGCAGAACGGATCCAAATGGGTTTTTGCTGCAGCAGAGAAAGAGGAGGGAGATAGGGAGCGGGATACTCGGGAGTGATGGTGGAGGAGAACCAGATCTGAGAGCTTTTTCGGTGTGCTTTGGGTGGGTGGGCGGAGGGAGACACGGCGACGGAACGATTTCTAATCCTGTTCAAACGTTACCATAATTATACTCGAACTGTGAGGATAGACACGTATAAATAAGAGAGTACGAATTCTGGCGTATTCGTATGTAGGGTTCCATGTGGCTGTGCCCAGCACACGAACAAAATTAATATATATATATATATATATATAGGTATCTGTAAAATAAATAATTAAACGGCAAAGATATGATTTAAATGAAGTTTGTCTCTGCAAGATTTTATGTTAATATATAAATCTAGAACATTCCAAGAATCCTTTTTTTTTTTTTAGCAATATCCGTACAATTACAATCAAATAAAATATCAATCTGAAAAATAAAAAATTGGAGTCGTAAATTTAATGCCCAAAAATATCACATTCAAATGCTTTCTTTTACGTGTTATTATTTCTTTATTATTTATCAAAATATTAGCAGGTTTAGTGGCCTAAGCATTAAGAAATGACTGACCAATGTTCGTCGATTTGATGGTTCCTCGATTCAAAATTGACTTAGCGATTTGACGATTTGAAGTCGAATCAAACCGAATATGAGCGGTTTGAATTTTGGTTTAAACCAATCAAATTATTAAAAAATAATTATGAATTATAATTTGATCAAAAATACATCCAGTTTTTAATTTTTTAATTAAAAATTAATATTTTTTTGTTTTTAATTATATAACCACGTGACGTTCCATTTGTAATACGGTACAGACCGAGACATAACATTTGGCTGGAGAATGTGCGTGTGGGGGCATGACAGCATTGTGACTCGTGAGTTGTCGTCCACAAGCAGGTGCTGGTGATTCTGAATGTGAACCCATTATAATAATTGTAGACGAAAGCCACGTCAAAAATCCAACAAGGAGGTTCATAATTGTGTTAGATGGTGCTCTTTATTGTTGTTCTGTTATTGTGATGGACGTAACAACTTGTTTTCTTCTAACAACTAGTGGCAATTCTTTGACTTCACTGTTGGCTGGCTGGCTGGCACCCGCCACGTAAAGGCCCCACCCTTACAGGATGTGTCCCTTCTGTTCCCAGGAGTGAGTACGCATGCGAGGCCACAACTTTGCTTGGGTCGTATATATATCTTCACGATATCTCTTTCCATCAGAGAGGATCTTAACGCCTCAGATATAGTGAAGCGAGCAAGGGACAAGTAAACGATGCTGTTAGGGTAGATAAGATCACATTGGTTGCATCATTTATTTGTCATCATCGTTCACTTATCGAGGATCTAAAATCTCGTATAAGATAGTAGCTTATCACTTCAGTCCTCGGATTATAAAATTCACCCATATACGACTTGTCTTTTATAAAAGGACATATTTGTCCTCACTCATGCATCAACGCGAGAACCTCTTGGGAACCAAAACCTTTTTCGCGTGGCAAGCACAAAACAAACAGCATGATTGTATCGAGTGTTGACCACCCTAAATTAATTTGCTAACTGAAGAACCGAAATATATCCCCTCCCCTCCCTTTTGCATACATTAATCGGATATACACATGCGTGGTAAGCGGATGCTTTATTATCGGGACGATCATATCGTGCAGGCCACCATAAAAACATGGGTCTACAGCCCTTCATTTACGTTATTCTCTTAAACCAGTCATATGAAATTAACTCGCCACCTATCACGCATACTCTCTATACACAAATTTTATTAGGCAAAGCAATTTCTTCTAAAAACACAAAAACATATTTTTCACTTTTTTTTTTCACAAAGCATATATTATATTCTAAAAACGAGATTATTTTTTGTTTTTGTACAGTCGGTGCCTTCGTCCTCCTACATCGAAGAAGCTAATCACCCATATGCAATCTCCCATCGCTTGGGTCCAGATATTTAATGTTCATTAGTATAAGATTTGACACACCGACCTCTCGATCTTAGACTAACCTCTCGCCCAATCTAACATTGATGGCACATCAATCATCGTCCCCGGGTTCCCACCCCAACATACCAACATTTGATTAAATGATAACTTTCTCATCTTCGGAGCCACCCATACCACTCTTGTTCCTTAGACAAGGATGATGATGATGGGTAAGGCAATAGGGTCTCATAATGAACGACAATTAATAGGATAAAGACTAATTTTATTTTTTAGAAAATAAAATATATAAACTAAAAATAAAGATACTATGTGAAAAAAAAATTGAAAAAAAATTATCCAATTTTATTATCTCCTTAAGGGTTCATTCTCCACCGATGGTTTTCCCATTTTAATAAACAAGCCGGGAAACTTGCTATCCTCGTGTCAAAAACCAAGGCATTTTTCACTCCACCCACACAATGCACCGAAAACCTACCGGTCTTGCGATTTTTGTTTGAAACCTGTCGTCAAATTTGTCGTAACAGCAGCGCTGCCGTCGATCTTCGCATCCCAATGACCAAACGTTCGACAGCGCACTTTGGCCGTAGGCTGGGCGTTCAATCCAAAAGCTCTCACGAGTTAGTACACGTGGTTCGACCAATACCTGCTTCCCACACATGCTCCCTTGAGGACGCACGGGAACAGTGCGGCTTTGTTACGCGCACGTAGGGAAGTCCATTGCAAGTAAAGAGGATTGTACAGGGACACGACCAGATACTACAAACGAACTAATTCCTAAAGCAAAAGGACCGGTGGTGTGTGTCGGCAGATTCTGCCAGCCGAGTGAATAGACTTCAGCCTTTTCAAATTGATGTCCAAACAGATGACACAGCAATATTTTAGCCATCTATCTCATCCGATCCATAATTTACTTGGCTGTACGTCTCAATAAACTAGACTTTCAAATGAGAACACATACCTAAAACTGTGGCTTAGTTCGGTCAAGATATTGCTTTCCAGATCCAATATATCTGTTCGCCGAAAGGCCTTTTGGGTAGAACCAAGGGGCTAATTAACAGTAAGTTCTTAAGACAGCAAACTGAAGGGAATCAGAAACAGGCCAGAACCTCATTTGCCTAATGGACTGTGCGCAGTCACATTCATGTTTATTAGAAACTGCTGAAAGAAACTCACTACCTTAGAAGTTTCAAGAAAAATGTTTTTTAAGTATATGGCACTCCTGAGTATGCTCATTTAGTAGTCTTATCACATGCATGAAGTTTACTAATAAATAGTGCATAACCATCATGATCTACAGTTTTATGCATCAACAAGTAAGATCCTGTCAAGTACAACCATTCTGAAACGTATGATGTGCACTCACTGCGAATACTGCTTTGCGATAATGCAACTGCAAAGCGCAGAAACTCAGTACTTTGGAGGTGGTTGCTGGGTCGGAAGCAACCCGAATCGCTTTTTCAAGAGAACCCGCTGTCTAGAATACTTGTCATCTGGAGAGAAACGAGCTGCAACATAAAGAATGTAAACAAATTTCAGTGAGTGTAATGAATCAACCTTGGGAAATAAGGTAGATAGAAAAAATAGGTATATTTTTTTTTACTCTGTTGACATAAGACTGGGTTCCCATTGAATACCATGTGGTACGGCCCGCCATCAGAATGGTGTTACAGCAATTTTTCAATTAAATACTTGTATTAGTGGCAGAATTATGACATCAATTGGATGCCAAGACTAAGGGCAATTTGCAAAGTGCGAGCAATTGGGCTGCACATTCTTTTCCCTAAAAGAACATAAAACATAAAATACTTTCCAGATTGCTTTGAAAACTCGTGCTTGTTCTGATGTATCAGGAATCTGGGAGCATGCTCCATATAAAAAAGCCAGATAGTAGTGCTCTGCTATTGCCAGGGAACTCCGCAACCATTGCTTCATATGAAATTATTCAAACATAAAGAATGTAATATTTATTGTCAATTATGAAGCTTGGTATTGACCTTAAGCTTCAAAATGGAATGTTTAGATGCCTCGAACCAATCTTATGTAAAGCCCAAAATCTACAGGTATCAATATGGAACTCGTACTTTGTAGGAACAAGCATGTAAATTTGAAGGTCTAGTATTTATTTTATTTTTATTTTTATTTTTATTTCAAGATGTCCAATCATGAATTATCAAGAGTTCTATAGCATGTTGCAAATTTATTCATGAAAGTCTGCAGAGTATTCATATTCAACAACTTTACAATCAAATTCTGCATGCAAGCTCCAAAAGCATGCAATCTATGTCTAAAATTGACTGATCCAAATTGGATAGGCTAAGATACCGGAGACTGGGAGTGCCTGGTAGCATACAAGCTAGAAAATCCAGAATATATATTTGCATCATAGTTAAAATTCTGATCAGGCTGGTTACTTAGTAGACCTTATCACAAAAATTAGAATTTGTCATGATTATCCTAAGTTTTCAATGGCAAATGTGCATATGCTTCCTAGTAGACCTTACCAGTACAAAAAAGTTCAACTGAGAATCAAAGCCATTATCATCGAATCCACACAAGTAGAAAACACAATGATCCTTTTCGGAAACAGTTTGATGGCCTAATAGAGAAGAGAGGGATAGAAGAGGAAACTGATCCAGAACATTTTTCCACTGGCTTATTCAAGTCAAATATTTAGGCTTTAAACTCAGATAACTTATACAAAAGGAAGAAAAGAAAACATCAGTACCGCATGGAAACTCACAAACACCTCTACCTAATAATGTTGGATACCCATCTCATGTCAGTTACAGAATCACAACTTGAAAATTCATTGAACTTTTTGACTTTGGACATCAACTAAGTCTGTTCTCTTCCTATGGGGTTTTGTATTGCTTTTATCACCCCTTAACACAATGTACACTCAGACTTACCTAGACTCTCACAGTCACCCCAGTGTTGGTGTAAAATGTGTGTTTGTCAGAAACATATCCACAACTCAGATGTGTCTTAAAGAATCTGAATACATTGAAATTATTCAAATTACTTCATAACATTCTTCAAATACCAAGTAAGAGAACAGGATACCTTCTGTTATTGACTTTCTTGCATTTTTTACTTCAAGCATTTCACATTTCTTTAAGGTCATACTATCCTACTTGTCTCTGTACCTCCATTGTTCTTGTCATATGAATCTAGTTATATTTTCTGTAACCATACGCAACATGGTACTCATGTGATCAATAACTTCCAACTAATCACATGATTTCTAATATTTCGAAGATCAGCTTACATTGCCTTAATAGTAAATCTGAAACAATTAAGCTCGAATCTTGTTGATTGGGTAGAGTGACGACAAGAGCAAGTTATCGATAATACATAAACAAAGCACTTTGTTACCCTATTGTGGAAGCTTCACAAACTACCAAGAAAAAATGTTCAGGGAAACATGAGTATGATGAATAGCTAAAATACCTGGATGAGCAGATTGTGTTGCCATCCCCAGCGGTGATTCTTTCTGCATGAAGATCATTATCCCATATCATTTATTTATTAGTTGTAGAAAATATTTCCATAAGTTCAACACATCGATTTTACATATTGACTCCCTCAATTGGTAAAGTTTTTCTTGGGGACGATCCTTCTATGTAATTTTCAATTGATGTTTGTGGGAGTATAATCTCCATCTTCTCTCCCTATCCCCCCAAAAAATTGAAATTTCGATATCCACTAAAAAAACAAAGAAAGAAGCTATAGTCCACCAAACTCTTATTCTCAGCTAGTAGATTAAGATACTCCACCAGCATCTCCTCTTACAAGGAACCAAATGACGAACTTCATATCTGCTACTGCTACACGATGGCGGAAACAAAAGCTACGAATAGCAGACATGAGGAGAGGCGAAACAAGCAAGTACCTTCGTGGTGTAGACCTTGTCGCCATTCTCATTGATGTAGAACTGGAGATACATCTTGGTGGCCTGCAACTCCTAAACATCACAGAGAACCATGCACCATAAGCAAGAACCCAACCAACTTATGCCAAAATCTAAAGCTCCAAGATCACCCAGGCCAGCCAAATACATATACGATTGAAGCAAACGATCGATCATGAAAACTCGCGATCACAGAGCGAAAGACGTACCGCGCGGCGATATTATGACGATGACGATGGGAACGGAACAACCGACTTAGGGTTCCAAGTTCCAGACGAGCGGTTATAGCTAATTTATAGCCAAAGACGGTACACGTGACTTGCACGTGACGCGTAGATCTATAAAGCCCTAAATATTTTAATCGACGGCAAACGGCCAAAGTAACAAATTCCTTCTCATTTCATTTTTCCTTATAAACGAAGCAACTAATTTAGTGATCAAACTCAATGCGGCCACCAAAACGACGGTGTGCCTCACAAGGAAGAGAAATGTTCGTGGACGTCATCGCGTCGGACGCAAGCAACAAAATTTGAGATTTCAGCTAGTGTTTCTTTCTTGTTTCTTCTACAGACGGATTCATATGGAGGCTGCGTCGAATGAATGGAGAGCGCCAGTGGCCTTCTTTTCTTCCCCTACCCCTTCCTCTTCGTTTTCCTTTTCTTCTTCCATCGTTGGCTTTAAGACTGGCGGGGCGATCGGTTCGGATCTCTGCTCTTCGGATCCCGATTCCGACGGGATCACCGCCTTTGATCTCGACGACTTCGTGGTCCCGCTACTGCCACCGGCGGTGGATGATGAGCCCTTTGCCTTGCGGCGGCGTGGCTGCTTGGGGACGGTGGGGAGATCGGGAGCCGTCTGCTCCGCGCCGACGATGCCGGCGGAGCTGCGGTGCCTCCGCCCGTGCTTGGACTCCTCAGAGGTATCCCGTAACCGGGGGTTGTCGCCGGAGACGGCGCCGGACGACTGGTGGCGCCGCGAATGCCGGTCGGAGGAAGAGTCGTCGTGATTCAGGGTGTCTACGCGCCGCGAGGGACGGGGCAGCGGCGTCGCAGACGCCTCGGCAGAGGAACCGCCGCCTTGATGGGGTTCTGCACACACACACAGGTTTAGACCACTGTGCCCGTCTGATCGAGAGATCCAAAAGCAAGAAGGGGACGGTGAAGAGATGGAACGACCTGGTGTGTGGTGCTTGACTTGGGGGGCGGCGGCCGTAGCATCGGCGTCGTCCGCATCCTCGGGGCCCGGCTCCGATTGAAACTCGTTCATCTGGTGTTGGGGGGGGAGCATCAGAGACGTCCGTTACAAGGAGATCAGATCATCATTGATATATATTTATACTCACCCAACTCGGGGAGTGATTGGAGGAGCCGTCGCAACCCACATGCGCCACGTGTTTGACATCGGTGGGGTGTCCGATCTGCATCTCCTGATCCTTGCCGTCTGCACATACGCCATCACATAACAAAAGCAACGAGAAAGATGAACGAGATAAAGCAATAGATGGATAGATCGATAGAGAAGGTGGGCACACCAAAAATTTGGGAGATGTAGCGAAGGCCTTTAAGGAGACCCTTCATTTTGGTACCCATGGGAATGGGGAATGGGGAATGGGGGATGGGGGATGCGGATGATGGATATCTTGTGGGTGGGACGTACCACCAGTGGCTTCTTTTCTGCAATCCCTGCAATTCGTCTTTAAGATTAGTGGTAGTGACAGCTCTGCCACCGCAAATGAAATGGTACCTCCCTGTTCATCGTATCCTGCTAAGCTTACCTTTTTCAGAGCAAATGCATTATGATCTATCACGCTCCTGCCTTGAATCCTGCATCTTCTACCGCCTGCATTACATCGGTTCTTATACGCCTTGCGTCGTCGTCTGATCGCCTCCTCCCGAAGAAAAGAAAGCCTGGCGGACGACGCCTCTCCGTCTGCCTCTACCTACTGCTGCTTTCTTGTTGTTTGTCCAAAGCGATGGTGGGAGAACATGCATGTGTCGGAAGGGGGAAGAGTGAATGGGGATTGCGTCCTCTCGGGCAAGGCAAGCCGGGTGAAAAGACAAGAGAAAATAGCATGAGGAGGAGGAGGAGGAGAGGCGTGGGTTGATGTGAGGGGAGAAACCGGTGGTCGGAGGGGCTCGGTTTTGGTTGCTATTTTAGCTGAAGCATGGGATGGGTGTGGCGCGTGGTAGTATTTGGAGGGGGGCCCTACCGCCAAGGGCGGGAAGGAGCGGTTGGGGAATGGAGGGGTGGCAGTTGCAGCCCCTGAATCGGACGAGTCAATGGGGAGGGGGGATACGACTTGGACTGACCTGATTGCCCTCGCAGGAATGGGCAGGTAGATTGGGTTCGGCTCAAGTCCAATTTTTGCCGGTTCATTATACCAAATGGGTTTTCGCTACCCGTGCGCATTGAAATCTCAAAGGGGAAGATGATCATAGGTGATTACTTGACCATTAAGAATTATGTCTATTGAGACATCTGATTGGTTAATTATATAGTTGTCTATTAGAGTTCATGTGTTATAAACGTCATTTAATATAATATTTTTTTAAAAAAAATTAATTATATCAATTGTGTTATGTGTTTAGTAGACATAATTATTAATTATATTAATTATATCAATTATAATATTAGTGTCTATTGTCGTGTCGACCTCGAAGGAGAAAAAAAAAATAGAAACTTGGAATATTTTTTAAAAATTTACTATATATTCTTTGATAATTAATTCACCAAAGAGTTGAAAGGAATGAGTTTGATTCAAATAGGTTAAACTATAGCATATACATCAAAACACCTATTCCCTTTTGAATATCATGCTGATTATGCATATTTAAGTGGTGCCATATCTAACCAACACTTCAGCCATCGTATAGTTTCCCTATTTCGTTGTCATGCTAACCAAATCGTATAAATCCAAATTTAATAAAACATAAATTAAATAATTTTTACATATTCGAACTTCATTAACAATGTTAGTTAAAAAGAAAATACATGAAGTGATGGACACAAAATGAAGTATTTAGTTCATCCCAACCTCTCTCGCTACCTTATGTGCGTTTCGCGTTTAATCAATCTGATCACACGCTCGATATTAGTCCAATAAATATAAAAATCATGATGATACTATTATATAAAAAAAAAATTAATATTAAAAATTTAAAATTAAATAATGATAGATCATATATACAACACTACTTGTTGGGATGAAACCCCGTGTGTATCATGTTTATATAACAAATATTTTTTTAATTATTGGACAATTCAATTAGATCTCAAACATCATTTTAATAAATTGATTTCAACTCTTCCTTTATTGTATCATATTATTTTTTTAATCATTATTTTTCATAACTTATGAAATTAATGAGAGATGCTTTTGAATACTATATCACGATTTAATTCTTATAGATATAATACATAATAATAAGAAATGATATTTTCTTTACATTTGAGATACTCTCAAAACTATCAATTATTTTTGTTCTATAATATTGTTAGCGACGATATCAATATTATATACGAGTTTACTAATCTTATTTTATTATTCATTTAATCAATTCTTTCAGTGATATGAGGAACAACAATTCCTTAAAAATGATAAATAAGTATCAACTTGTGTCTCCTTGATATCAAGATTAAATTTTAAAATTTTCACTCCCCACTGATTCGCTATTTTCTAAAAATATTATATTATCATATTCAACTATCCTCATGCTATGATCAGAGTAATAAAATATATATCTCTTTAAAAAAATTTAGATAAATAATAAAATATCAAGAAATAGTTCTTAAATATAATTATTTTTTATATGATTTAAAGATTCTTCTCTTTGTAGAATAATCTCAAATATTAGGTTTCCTGTAAGTCCATGACTCAAAAGAAATTGATGAAATTGAATTACTGAGAACATATTTAAGATATATATAATTATCCTTAGAGTTTCTCCTCACATTAATTCGGGTACAAAATAATAATTCATCATGCTACTAATCATATTTATAACAATATGATTTTATCTTTCAATAATCTTATCTTATTTTGACACATCTTGTAAAATATATTGAGCACAAATATTCTACTTTTCTAATAATATAATAAAAAAATCATAATTATGATCGATACTATCATAAAATTTATCACCCCTGTTAGATATAAAATATTTAACTTTTTTATCTAATTATCTCTTAACTTTATTTATGTATCATAAAAGTATCAATAGTATAAGACTTTAGATAGTAATATCTTAGTAGATAATATATAAATATGATAAAATATCTCTAAAGCATATATAATCTCAAAGACTTCGTGAAATTATATTTCTTACCGATATTAGATTATAGAATCATTATAAACTCAAGATTCACATCAATTCTATATAAACTATCATGTAGAATTTAAAAGTTATTTTTTATTAAATCATAAATATATTAAATTTATAATCACCGAAAGAGAAATAATATCCTAACAATTCTAGATAAATAACTCAAATTTCTAAAGTTATAAGAATGTAAAAAATATTATTAAGATATATTAGATGAATCATTTCTAGGCGTCGATAAGTATTCATTATTTTTTTTTTACTTTAAGATGATTCCTTATAAAGATGAATATTTCATAATCTTTTTGTTCTTATATTAAAGTGAATATCTTGTTATATAAGTTGAAGTGTTTTAATCAATCTATTAAATATTAGAAAAAGACTTTTGTAATGTTTGATTTGAAACATAGGTCCAACTTATATTTTTTTTCTTTTCCAACAAAGCCTTATAGTCTATCTTTACATTAACTTTTATTGTTACAAAAATAACATTTTATTACGAAGAATTTTCTTTTAGGAGTTTATATAGTATTCATAAATTCAAATGATTTACGTTTCAACTTTCTTTTATTGTTACCTACCCTGAGTTTTTAATATTTTAATTTTAATTATTTCTAATCACATATACTAGTTAACTTATTTTAGTTTTATTTATCATTAATTTATTATATCTTAAATGAGTCAAATCAAGAAGAACTAGAATTATGAACAAATTATACGAGAAAGGACTCAACTATATTTATGACCAAAGTTTTTGAGGTTATAGTTTTGTCACTCATATCGAAGATATAATATTGAATTCCTCAAATATCAGAATTTCAATTAGTTATTTCATTCAACTGATGACTTATTATTAAATTTAAATTGATCTTTAAAATATTATAATGCACTAGTTGTAGCCTATAATGAAATCTAAATATTATCAATAATTATCATAAAACTAAGTCTTTTATATCTTTTTCGATCATTTATCTCAATTATTTATTTCATATAATTTTTAGTAATTATGTCTATGATCCTTTCAATTAGTCTGATCCTTTCAACTAATGCATCGCTATAGTCATATACAACCAAGGCAGGTTGGTCGTTGCTTACGATTGAACTAGCGACCACCAAAGGTTATCATCCTCAACAAACAATAAATTGTTAGCATCGCATATATATATATATATATAAGATGCTTATATTTATTATTTACGCCAATTCGAGAGATGAGCAGTGAAATTCGTGAAATAGCTGATGTAGATCCACCACTTCATCGTAATCATAGGAAATCTACATATCTCACCCACACAACGAAATGGAGAACTTATATAGGCTGCTCCTCGCTAGAGAAATACTGAGTTCCAGTTGTCCATCCATTAGAATTTTACCACTGGACCAATAAACACCGTACATAATCAAGATACTTTAAGATGATTTCTAAAGATAAAATGACAAAATGTCTGTCTATCTCAATGAGAATCATGAACAACATCTGACAGTCAGGAAATAGGTTTACCTACAAGCCTACACAAATATGCCAAGAAAATTCATTAGGCGAATAGAAATAGGCCTTTCAATAAAGCATGAAAGGTATTTGTACCAAGGCAGGTATACACATAACAACACGATCTCCTTGAGTCTCTTGTGGAAAAGACACTAAAACCACATAATGAATGCTGTATAAATGATCTGATGATAATATATACTTGCCTACATCGCATACGTTGACTACACCTGAAGTCCTGTGAGACAGTTTGCATTGATCTCACTGAACTTGGGTGAAAGTACTTCCGAAAACTGAGAATTTTGTCCAACTGGGAGTGTATTCTCTATCGAATCAAGTGGAACGTGATCTGGCTTTTGGATTCCCTTCTTGACGGGGAGTGTATTCTCTATCGAATCAAATGGAACGTGATCTGGCTTTTGGATTCCCTTCTTGATGGGGCGCAAGCAGGCAAGATGAGAATTAAGCTGGTTGTTGCAAATGGGCAGTTTGTTGACTTGAGTACATGCTTCCCTTTCCTTGGCCACTGGAGCTCCTGAAGGATCCTGTTCAAAAACATAGAACTGCAAATTTTAGAACTTCAAGATGAGTAGCTTCAAGATTTACAAAAAACTTGGTTCCTAAATTATGATTTCTCAGCCCCAAAAATGCTCATATATAGTTTTTCAAAGTGTGGAAGTCAGATTACCAACCAAACTGTGAGATAGTTCCAATGTGGACCAATCATAATAACTCAAAACCAGGCAACACAGAAGATAAAGTATTGTACATACCCCAAGCATGAGAAATGTAAATTTATTGTTGCCTTCCTCAAGACTGATCTCGACAAGTTTGCGCAAATCAGCAAGACTGGAATTCTTGGACACCTTAAGCTTCCTGATCAGATTCCCTGAGAATTCCTTGGAGGCCTCCCATTTCACATATATGTCCACAAATCCGTCTGTACCAACCTGTCCAGGGCTGTAATTCTCTTTAAAAGCTTTTGATGGTTCAGAAGAAACACATCTTTTCGAATGCTGATCTGTTGATTTTTCCTCATCCCTGAGCTGAAGTGATGCAAATGGCACCAGTATTGCAGAATCTGGGCTTTCCATGACCGGTGATTCAGGTAGAAACTTGCTTTTAGGTGTGAGTTGTGATTGGTCTGCTTTTGAGCCTAACTTTGATCCAAACTCCTTGCCATTTGCCAAGGGAGATTGCCTGTTTTCATCTTGATGTCTACTCTTCAAAGGAGAGGAAACTTTTACCTGTTGAGCTAGCTCTCTATAGTTGCCGCAAAGTCTGAAAATATTCTGGATACGTGTTTTTCTAGCAGAGACAGGATCTCTAGTGTTCTCAAAAAAGTTGCTTTCTGCTCCTACATGCTTTTGCATTAAATCACTGCCGTACTCTGCATGATCATTGTCTCCGTTCAATCCCGAATCTACCAAAGAAATCAAGCCATTAATCTTAATTGCATGGTTCATGTTCTCATCTACTACTTCCTTGTCAACCTCATCTTCAATGCTTTCTCTGTCTTCTCCTTCTTCATCTCCCTCAAAAACAGTGCTCAAGCACACCTTGTCTGGGAGTCTAAGCATATGAGCACCAGTGTCCTCTTCGAAAGCCAAAAGACAAGGACTAAGTTGGGATAGTTTCTGGTAGCTTTCAAGCTGGTTGGAGTCCTCCTTTATCTCCTTTACCTCGTAAGTATCCTGTTGATCTCCCATGTCCAAATCCATAGATTTCACCATTCCTTGTTCTCTTGCAAAAGTTTCTAGCCGCTTCATAAGACTTCCTCCATCCATGTCCTGCAACACATCCCCAGAAATTTTACCTCTTTCAAGTTCCACTTCCTCAAGTCTCTGCCTAAGCATATTAAGCTCCTCTTGCTGTTGTAACATTCTATCTTCCATCTTCATCAATTCAAGTCGTAAAGTCTTGGTTCTTTGGCCAACCTTCAAGTTGATCTCTTCCTCCTTGACTTCTGCTTCTCTTTCTTCAAAGAGTCGGACCTTTGCTCTGAGCTCTGTAAGTTCTGATTCTTTCTGCAATAGCTTTTTGTGGGCATCATCGCACTCTTTCTCTTTAAGCTTATTCTCCATTTGTAGTTTATAGATGAACTGGTTCATCGCCACAATTCTTGACCTTAGGAGTAAAGAAGACTCATCAGCGTCCACCTTCTCCTTTGGAGTTGGCATATGAGCAACACGGATTATGCATTTTGCTTTAGCTCCATATTCAAGAGTAGAAACAGTCTTGTGAGTTTCCCTGGGATCAGGACTTGCGCACAGAATCATCAAAATCTTTGACCTATCATCTTCAAAGGAATCCTGCAAAAATGGAACAGGCAGGACAATAATTTCTCGATCACTCTGAATCATATGCTCATGAAAAGTAATTTGTTAAAGAAGAGGATGATAAGCTGTGAGATCACCTGTAAAAGCATTGTAAGCTTACTATCCCTGAACGGAACATGAGAATCACCATTTGCAATGGATTCAACCACCCTTTTGAGAGCAACATTCCCTTGGTTTATTTTAGCTGTCTGCCAAAGGTTCGGCAACACTCAAGTCAACATGAGCAGTAAAGCAAACAAAATAAATGGTTTTTGAATAGATCCATCGACATAGCATCATCGAACATCCACTGAGTGAAAATTCAACCGAATTTGTAAAGAAGCAATGTATGCAAAAGAGGGAAGAAAATAATTCACAATTTGACACAATGGAACCATAAAAAACAAGCAAAATTAAATATATCTCAGTAAATCATACATGTATGGAATTATAACTAAAATACCTATCTGTTAACAGATAAGAAGTAATGCAAAAAGGATGACAAGGTTACTTGATTCGCAAAAGGCAAGAAAAATTGTGTGGAATATAATACCTGCATCTTTGCTTCGAGACCAATTTGACCGGCTGCTTCTATGTTTTCAGAACCGGCCATGTCAACCAGCATCAGCCTTCCTCCCACAGATGGAACATCTAAAATTATCTGAATGTTTGTTGAGAACAAAATAAAAGAAATTTCGAAAACTAAGTGATTGTAGTGATTCCGAAGAACAACCATTAGAACAAAACATTAAAGAAGAAGGAAAAAGGACAAACAAACCATGCAGTGGCTACGTGAACTTCTTTCATTGCAGAGAGTGCTTTTAACAATCCGCCGCTTTTCAACTTTGGCAACTTCCCTTGTAATTTTCCCTGCTTCGTTACCGCATATGTAACTTGCATTTTTAGCCTTTTTACCCATCACCTCCAGCCGAACCTGTTCAGCAGAGTCAGCAGGGCAGCATTAGAAAGAGATATGTAGCTCATTCTTCCTTTTTTCCTCTACTGGTTTCTTGCGGCAAAAGATATCGAACAATTTAAAATAATTATGAGCTTAAATTATGATCTGATCCTTGCAAATAACAGAGGATCGCCATGAATCTGTCAAAGGGGACCAGCGCAATGGGTAATTAGAACACGAAAGAGGAAGACTAGGGCAGAAACACAACTACTTCAAAATATAGTTCGGACGAAGAAGAACAACATTTTGGTTTCCAATTTCTAGCATAGCCAGACAAATCGTTCCAATTTTCTTTGGATCATTGTTCAACGACGACACGCTGAATGAAGAATAAAGTGGTTGAACAAAGGTGAAATCATCGGGAGGATACCACAGTTAGGGCTTTGGTAGAACACAACAGACAATTTCTTTAACCCTAGATAAAATTAGCAATATATACAATTCGAATCAAGAAAATTATCGGGCAAAATAAGCCAAAAAACAAAGAACGAAAGAGAAAGTAGAGCAGCAGGCGCATCGAACCTTGGGCGTATTATTGCCTTTGGGAGGACCGACGGTGGGTCCTCCTCCTCCTCCTCCGGCCCCGTTGGGAGCCCCCGAGAGAAGATCGTAGATCTCTTCGTTGTAAATCTCCAATACCGCGACCTTGACGAACAGACCAGAAAGGAGTCCGCCGCCTTCGTCATCGTCGCCGTCGACGGCTGCGTCAGAGGAGCTGCCATCGGGACCATCGCCTTCTCCTCCTCCTCCCAAGATGTCCCTGAGAGCCATGTACACGATGCCGGGCTGCTTGGGACAGCCGAACATGGTGTGGCTCTTGCCGGAACCGGTGGGACCGTACATCATGATGGTGCACTTGGCCCCCAGGCGCACGCCCTCAACTCTGGACCCCACGAAGCGGCGATAGAAGGCCTCGAGGTCCTCGTGCTCGGATAGGGAGACGCCGTCGAGGGCGAAGTCGCGGTAGCCGACGTCGGTGCGGACGCGGAGGGAGCGGCCATCGCCAGATATCTCGAGGACGGAGGACGTCGGCTTGTCCTTGCGATGATCGGCGGGGTAGTTGCGAATCCGGCCGATGACTTCGACGGGGTGCTCGCCCGGGGGAGGAGGCGGCGTGGGAGCGGCTGCAGCGGGGGCCTTCGCGATGGGGTTGGGGCTGGGGAAGTGAAGGAGGCGGTGCTTGGATTGCTGGGGAGTAGGGGTGAGGTTGGTGGTCTTGGAGTGGTAACGAGGAGTAGTAGGAGTGCTTCGTGGTGACGGTGTGGGAGGAGCCATCGGAGTCCGAAGGGTTGCAACGAATGTAACTGATCGAGAGGTGAGAAGCGTCGAGAATTGGAGAGAAGGAAGGTTGGTCTTCTTCTCGTTCTTTCTCTCGTCGTCGCTGTTGTTGTTAGAGCTGCTGGGAGCGGTGTTGTTGGGGATTCGAAATCGATCGGAATGTAGCCGTTATGAGGGGAGGGAGAAGTCGTCCTACCCCACGGAGTAACGGCTATTTTTTTCTGAGTTTTGGTTAACTCACACTGGTAAACTATATATATATATATATATATATATATATATATATATATATATATATATATATATATATATATATATATATATATATATATATATA